CCCCCCCCCCAAGGGTCCCTGCCTAGCAGGGGCTGTGTTCTGCTCCCTGTGGCTGCAGCTCCAGCAGGGCAGCCCCCTCCCATGGTCACACCTCTCCTCTTGCCCTTCAGATCTAGAGGTTGTAATGGCTTCTTGTAGTGTGAGCTCCTTGTGTCCCATCCTTGGTAGGTTTCCTTAGCCTTGCCCACACCCCTGTAAAGAATCCCTTAGTTGAAGGCTCTTCAGTATCCCTTTGAGCATAACATCTGTTTCTCGGTGGGACACCAATTGATATAGAAATGGCATGGTCCCTCAGCACTGAATACTTCAGATTTCGTGAGTCAAACCAGCTCCATACAGAGGGGTGGGCAAAGGAGCTTTCCCGGACAGCCCAGGTTCCCAGGGTGCTGGGGCTGTGTCAGGGCCCCACTGCCCTCTGGTGGTCAGCTCCTGGAAATGCAGGGATCCAACTTCAGCTGAACTAAGCTCACTCGGCACCAGCACTGTGCTGAGCCCATTACACACCTGAGCACATTTCACCCAAGGGTTACTGTCCCCCATTTACAGGTGAGAACCTTTTCACTGCCCTAAGTATAAGCCAAAATCTTAACGGTGGATGGCAGGGCCCTTCTTTGCCTCCCCTCCTGTCACTCTGACCCAGTCACACTGGTCTTTTTTTTTAGATCCTAGGGTGCTCACTGTGCAGCTCCCAATTAGAATATTTGGGAACTCTCTAAAATGTCCTTCACCTGGTTAACCTCAGCTCATTCTCTAGGATGTCACTTAGGAAAGTTCTCCTCACCATCCCCTCCCCACCCCTGCCTTTCATTCACTGTCATTCACAAACACATTCGGTTTTCCTGGTTTATGGGAATGTTTGATGAATGCTGCTGTACCCCAGAGGCTGAAGGCACTTGAGGGCAGGGAGCCCTCTGCTTTGTTCACAGCTGTATCCCTGGTGCCTGGAATGCAATACTAACCACACCAACAGCTGACATGGATTAAGCGTTTCTCTGTGCCAGCCATTGAGCTAAGCCATTCAGGTCACCAGACCACCCTATGCTCCAAAGCCCCTCTTTCCCAGGAAACAGCCCTCGACTCTATCAAAAATTCACATGGATTTATTAGAATATGAAAAAAATTTGGTTTCTTCTGTACAGGCGGCAGAGCAGCAGCAGCTGTGGTGGCTTTGAACATGGTTGTCAACATCACCCTTGCATGGTGACTCTTGCCCAAAACAGCACTTGCATGGAGAGGGGGCACAGATTAACACCCACTGCCCAGTCCACTGGGAAGAGGGACACTCTGACTATTGCACAATCCTGGGGGAGTGCCCTAGAGAGGACAGACACCATTAGTCCTGGGCCTAGCCATGGCAGTAGTGGGGGTGGGAGTGTGTGCCTGTGAGCAAAGGCTTCTGGGAGCCTAGAGCTCTGCCCACCCACCACCAGCTCTGGCCAAGTGGGAGATGCTCAGGGGACATCTTCTCCCCTGAGGACTGGGCTCCACAGCAAGCTGGGTGTGGTGAACAGAGGGAGAGGTTCCTGGATCCAAGGTGGGGGTAGGGGGAGATAAGAGAAAGAACAGGCCAGCAGGAACTGAGGGTTGGGCCCACGAGCAGAGGACCAAAAGGCCCAGCATCTGTGAGTTGGAGAGAA